TATGTAAACCGGTTGACATAGTGGCATCATTTATTAAGTAACAAGACCGAAAAATGATTAGAATAATTATTTGACAAACTTATATTTTGAAAAGACCGCCCAGAATTATTTTTAAAGTTTGATCACTTCGTCATCTATGCAAAAGCGGCGGAAACTATTCAACAAATAACCGACTTATCGACTGAACTTCCGACAGTCGGCAGTCGGTAAGTTAACGAATAGTTTGCGCCGCTTTTTTATAGATGGCGCAATGGTCGATGGCTTAGGGATTGACTGCTAGAGGATTTATCGACAAAATACAAAATACAAATTAATGGGTGATTTGATTTTGTAACTCAACCATAATAATTGTTTTAATTTAATTTGTGAAACACTTCCTATTGCAACAGTCTAACGCACGTTGATGGAAATAGCTGATTGCTTCGATATCAAAGATTATATCCCATCACTCAGTTAGTGTCTCGAGCTCAGCTTTGCCATATTACAGCAATAAGAGGAGCAGCAAGGGGATGTTGATCCAACCCTTTGAACATTAAATATCACGGCTTCACCACCAAACACAGGCCATCAGGTTTGCTGGCGTCAGGAGTGGGGGCTCCTGGCGCTTTTGCAAACGGCCCGATAAGCCGGTACCGGGTGCGACCCCCGTATCGGCTACATTGTAGCCAGCAGGGGGAGGTCTCAATTTGGACCTCCCCCGAGATGGGCACCTATGTGCCAGGCGTGGAGGGCATCGAAATAATATACACAAGGTCACAGAGCCCTCCTTTAGCGCCAGTGTCGGTCGCCGTGGGGTTTTAGTCAGTAGGAATCTGACACTCCCCCGCCGCCTTCCCCCAGGGGGCGGTGGGGGGTCTTATGCAAGATTTCCCCACGTTAAAAAAAAAAAAAAAAAACTATTTATATTCCTTATCCTTGTATTCATTGTATCCCTTGTATTCTTGTATCCCTATATTCTTTTCATCCCTATATGCCTTACGTCTCTTCATCCCTTAAATCCCTACATTATTATCATCCGTACATTCTTTTCATCCATACATTCTTTTCAGCCCTACATTCCTTTCATCCCTACATTCCTTACATCGGTTCATCCCTTACATCCCTGCATTCATTTCATCCCTTCATTTTTTTCATCCCTACATTCTTTCCATCCCTTCATTCATTCCATCCCTACATTCTTTCCATCCCTACATTCCTTAACCCTTTTCATCCCTTAAATCCCTACATCCTTACCATCCCTACATTCTTTTCATCCCTACATTCTTTCCATCCCTACAGTCATTTCATCCCTTCATTCATTTCATCCCTACATTCTCTTCATCTCTACATTCCCTACATCTCTCCATCCCTTATATCTCTGTATCCCTTACATCCCTGTATTCTTCACATATTTGCAACATTTTTATGCAAAATCGTGCAAAATTTAGTTCCCCCTTTTGCCACCAGAGGGCGCTGGTTCGGCATCGAAATTTTAGTTCACATTTTTGCCGCTAGAGGGCCAAAAATTGAGCTTGGTTTAGTTCCTTTTTCCAAAACCAGATGGCGCTGATTCGACATCGAAATTTTAGTTCACATTTTTGCCGCTAGGGGGCGCTATTTTCGGGAATTTCGCGAAAATTTCGAAAAACAGCGCCCCCTAGCGGCAAAAATGTGAACCAAAATTTCGATGTCGAATCAGCGCCATCTGGTTTTGGAAAAAGGAACTAAAGCATGCTTAATTTTTGGCCCTCTGGCGGCAAAAATGTGAACTAAAATCTCGACGTCGAATCAGCGCCCTCTGGTGGCAAAAAAGGGAACTAAATTTTGCACGATTTTGCATAAAAATGTCGCAAATATGTGAAGAATGCAGGGATATAAGGGATACGGAGATATAAGGGATGGAGAGATGTAGGGAATGTAGAGATGAAGAGAATGTAGGGATGAAATGAATGAAGGGATGAAATGACTGTAGGGATGGAAAGAATGTAGGGATGAAAAGAATGTAGGGACGGAAGAAATGTGGGAATGTAAAGAATGTAGGGATGTAAGGGATGAAGCGACGTAAGGAATGCGGAGATGAAAAGAATGTAGGGATGTAAGGGATGAAGAGATGCAAAGAATGTAGGGATGAAAAGAATGTACGGATGATAATAATGTAGGGATTTAAGGGATGAAGAGATGTAAAAAATGTAGGGTTGAAAAGAATATAGGGATGAAAAGAATGTAGCGATGAAAAGAATGTAGGGATGAAAGGAATATAGGGATGAAAAGAATGTAGGGATGAAAAGAATGCAGGGATGTAAGGGATGCAGAGATGTAACGGAACGAGGGACTAAGATTACGGAACTACCTCCGGCCCCTCCCCAGCGGGGCTGAAGGTGTCTTTCTGAAGATTTCCACCACGTTAAAACAAAAAAAAAAAAAAAAAATGGTATTTAAGGGTTGCAGGAGTGTAAGGAATGCAGGGATGGAAGGAATGCTGGGTTGGAAGGAATGCAGGGGTGTAAGGGATACTGAGATAGCCTTGGCCTATAATGAGTAATAAAATTATATCAATAACTGGGAAAAGTAAAATAATTGGGGTCCTCGGATGAGACCCAGGAGAGGGATATAATCATAAATGTTCCCTTCGATGAGCTTATTTAAAGACCAAAAAAAAATAAATTAAATAAATTAAATAAACTTTGGAAAAAAGTTCTGCCCTCTTCATACGGACCTGATATTATCTAGGGGTGTCAGAGACCCCGCTGCGCTAATCACGCCCTTTGCGTACCGGCCTGATATCATATTGGGGTATTAAGGACCCCAAATGCCGATGACTACCTTTACATACCAATAATATAGCACCCGGGGTTCCAGGGACCCCGAAGCACCATTGACCTTCCCTGTATACCGAGATGATATCATATTGGGGTGTTAAGGACCCCGAAGCTCCGATGATTCTGCATACCAAAATTATATCATCTCGGGGTTCTAAGGATCCCGAAGCACCAATGTTACTGCATACTAAAATTATACCGTCTTGGGGTTCTAAGAACCCCGAAGAGTCCTTGATTCTGCTTACCAAAATTATATTGTGTTGGGGTTCTAGAGACCCCGTGCACCAACGATTCTATATACCTAAATTAAATTGTCTCGGGGTTCTAAGGACCCCTAAGCTCCGATGATTCTGCATACCAAAATTATATCATCTCGGGGTTCTAAGGATCCCGAAGCACCAATGTTACTGCATACTAAAATTATACCGTCTTGGGGTTCTAAGAACCCCGAAGAGTCCTTGATTCTGCTTACCAAAATTATATTGTGTAGGGGTTCTAGAGACCCCGTGCACCAACGATTCTATATACCTAAATTAAATTGTCTCGGGGTTCTAAGGACCCCTAAGCTCCGATGATTCTGCATACCGACATTATGGTATCTGGGGTGTCAGGGACCCCGAAACAACTAGCGAAATATAAGAACGAAAAACGAACAAATCGTCAAACTCACTTGTTCGGAATAGTGATGGGTTTGACCGGATCTAGCGAAATATAAGAACGAAAAACAAACAAATCGTCAAACTCACTTGTTCGGATTAGTGATGGGTTTGACCGGATCTAGCGAAATATAAGAACGAAAAACGAACAAATCGTCAAACTCACTTGTTCGAGATAGTGATGGGTACGACCGGATCTAGCGAAATATAAGACCTGAAAACGAACAAATCGTGAAACTCACTTGTTCGGAATAGTGATCGGTTTGACCGAATCTAGCGAAATATAAGACCTAAAAACGAACAAATCGTGAAACTCACTTGTTCGAGGTAGTGATGGGTACGACAGGATCTGTAGGGCATAGGCACTACAATTATTTACTATAAAACATTCTTGTAAATAATTAAGAAATTATTCACTCAGAAACAATGAAAATAATATATTTTTAAATCAGAAACATTTTCCAATCAATTACAGTTATCAGTTGTAACGAATTCTGTTTAGTATAAAAAATTACTAAAATGTTTCGGCTTACATCATGATTGAAATAAATTTGCTAATTACAAAAGAATTATATTGTCACAAATGTTAAAAATAGACTCACAATTAATCACAAACGATTTACGAACGAAATACACTAAGAACAATTAAAAACAATCATATTTTATTATTCCTTCCGGCTAGCTTCACGTAGGTTACTAAAATAATATCGTCTCGGGGTTCTAAAGACCCCAAACATCGACGATTCTGTATACCTAAATTATATTGTCTCGGGGTTCGAAGGACCCCGAAGCTCCGATGATTCTGCATACCGACATTACGGTATCTGGGGTGTCAGGGACCCCGATACAACTAGCGAAATATAGAAACGAAAAACGAACAAATCGTGAAACTTACTTGTTCGGGATAGTGATGGGTTTGACCGGATCTAGCGAAATATAAGAACGAAAAACGAACAAATCGTGAAACTCACTTGTTCGGGATAGTGATGGGTACGACCGGATCTAAGGAAATATAAGACCTGAAATCGAACAAATCGTGAAACTCATTTGTTCGAGGTAGTAATGGGTACAATTATTTATTATAAAACAAACTTGTAAATAGTTAAGAAATTATTCACTCACAAACAATGAAAATGATATATTTGTAAATCACAAACGATTTCCAATCAATTACAGTTATCAGTTATCATAAAATCTGTTTATTATGAAAAATTACTCAAAAGTTTCGGCTCACATAATGATTGAAATAAAATTGCTAATTAGAAAAGAACTAATTTGTCACAAATGTTAAAAATAGACTCACAATCAATAACAAACGATTTACAAACGAAATACACTAATAAAAATTAAAAATAATCATATTTTATTATTCCTTCCGGCTAGCTTCATGTAGGTCGGTCGTCGTACCGACTGTGTTCTGTACATGCAGACCTAACTGTTCCTGGGGATGTCTGGGACCCCAAAAGCATGATCCCTCGCGAACAAAGGCATATCCAGTCTTCTTGTATCTGTAGTCACTGCGTTACAGCACGAAATACGGGAGTTTGAAGGGTCTGGGTGCTACTACGGATGTCGAACAGGTGTCCCCACTTCGATACCCTAACCTCGGCGCTGTTCAGTGGCTCTGCAGTGTCGGATGTACACGTATGTGCGACGTACGGGATATGTACCTGGAGGTGTTCTCGTTTCTAGGTCATAAGAGGTGTGTATCAATGAAATTTGTGCTAGACAAGCGTTGTTCATGAAAAAGTAGTTACTTACGATCACGGGAGAGGTCCGCGTGTGACAGCAAATGCCACATCGAACAAAGTGCATTCGTCGAAGTTTGACCGATCCGTTTTGCTCGTGGCTAGCGTCTCCCGTCAGTTTGATCTATCGTGTATGTGTGTGTATGTTCACTCTGCTGGGTGTCCTGCTTTCCTTTCGTCCTGTTCGACGAATCGAGCATTGTGGACGATTTTAATCGCGTCAAATTTCTCTGCACAACGACCATGAATCGTTTCTCGGCGAGTCCGTGATCGCTGTGACGCACCGGGTGCGCGTTAAACTGTTACATACCTCGACGAATTCCACGCCGGCTATCGGCTGTGCGTCAAATACTTAACAGACTTTATTGTGGTGTATAGAATTTGGACACGTCGGACGATCGTAAATCTCTCCTTGTGCCACAAAACGAACAAATACGACCTAATCAAAGACTCAAGCGAAAACACTGTGCTCTCGACCAGACAGGATCAAGCTGGGTAATGTCTTTTTAGGCTCGTGTCACGCGACGATAGCCGACCATGTGGTGTGTAAGTTAACGGTGCTACGTGGATAGTCAGTATACCCGATATTTGTTCTCTGACGCGTCCACGTCTTTTACCGTGAGGCCAGACTGTTACCCGCTGTTTGCAACGATAAATCATTCTCACGCGTTCATGCGAACGTGCGCCCCTGTACGCATGTGTCTGTGTTACGCATATCCAATTCACCATATAACCGTACCGCCGCCTCGCGCGGATTCCATCTCGTTTTTGTTGGTCCGCCCCCTGAAACAAGTATATAATCTTATTCTACCGGCTCGTACGTCGTTATTTCGTTTTAAGGAATGCGGGGCACACCTGCTCGTCTTTTACACCGCAGTCCCCCAAGGTCTTTGGTAACCGGGACCAAGTTGAACGTCACGATGAATTTTGACGATGATAGATTTGATTTCACGGGAAAATAAAAAGTGGGAAAATGAAACTGCTCGATCTGTTAGCCGGTATAAATCGTCGCGAGCAATCTTCATTAAGAGAGAATAAATTATTCATGAAGAGAAGCCGGTTCTTTCCCCTCAAAGAACGTTAAATAGGTAAATGCAGCATACTTCGACGGCGATTAATAAAACGAGCGAAAGGTTCCCCTTGGTAAAGTTCTCCTTGGTTGATGAGAGAATTGACCAGTTGAAGATGACACGTTACTCGACCTCCAAGGACACGTGTACCCAGTTCCTATCGCGGATCTCCTTATGCAGTTGCGACAAAACGATTCCATTGCGGTACTACGGCATAATAGACTTGTAAAACGTGATTGCGGGAGAGGCGTGAAAATCACCGATCGATTATGTTATTCCAAGATAACATTTATAGAGTTCCATCGGTTCGATGATATTATTTTAAGCTCTGCTCGTTTACCATTCTCCAAGCTTTTTTCGTGGCTTTGATCCACCATTGACCCGGTATACATATAGCGTTTCATAATATCGACGAGAAGAAACACGTGTATAAATTTAATCGCGTTTCGATGAAATTTCGTGCCGGGAAATTGTAAAGTTCAGAAATTCAAGGGAAATGGTAGCACATGATACGCAGCCCGTGTCGCGGTACATGCATTTCGAATATTAAACGGGACCAACGTACATCATGATTTTGTAATGGAAATACCCGTATTTGTTTCAACTATTATTTCCAATTAAATTTTTAACATTCACCGATTAAATTTATGCCGTGGTCAGAGTTATAACATAGAAAATTTCATTTAATCATAAAAGAATGATATTAATCTTTTCGCTACCGGCTGGCCAGCTATAATTGATAAAGTGAGGTTATGTTTCAAAATAATGGCTGGAACTAAATTTCTATCGAACGTCCTTGACGGTGATGCAAAATGTAATTAAATACTATTGGATATATTTGATTAACAGATAAGATTATTTCTGACGAGTCGTACTAAGATTACTATCTCGTTGTCATGCAGGTATATAGAAAGTGGAACGTCCTGGTTGACTCAGTCCGCCTGCATAATTGACTGTAAAACATTTTCTTTTCTTTTTTTCATCGCAGCCTAGAATGTAGCAATTAAACGACGCTAATTAACCGTTTCAAAGGCAAGCTTGTTGTAACGTGCGACCAAGTTGAGCACTTTGAAACGAATTGCCGGGAATGTTTCGTTGTTCGAATGAGTATATCAGCCTCCTCCATCCACTCGTTTGTTCTTTTCTTCGTTTCGTGTTAATTATTCGCAAAGCGGCGAAACGTCGAATAGACTTATATTTTATGCACTATTAGGATCGGATTAAAGTTTCCGAGACCCGAGGCTGTTTTAGAATCCATTAAATTATTTATTCCTCGGCCATTGTTACCTCGTTGAAAGTGGACTAAGTAATATAATTGTCATAATATGGCCTTTTTGCAAAAATAAGCAATTTCTACTTGAACGTCGACTGTAAGTCGAAAGTCGATTAGACGCTAATGAACTCGATATTGTCTAAATCGAGCTATTCGAGTTGAAATTCTAGAAATCTGTTTGTTTCGTCGATACCATATCGCAAATTACGCCAGCGCACTTTCAATTATCTAGTACACAATAACTAACCTCGATTACGAGCGATGGTCTTTTTTTCTCCCTCTGTGTTTCGTCGCCTCTGCACACATCTATTATACATATACATACGATGAGCTTTATGAAGCCGCGGTTTGCTCGCCGCCAGCTTATCGGCGCCCGTACAAGAAACCTTTAAAAATTGCTCCTTGCACTTTAACGACAATCGTTCGCGACATTCGCGACCTCCATAGTGGTCGCTTTTAATAAACCGCGCGCAATGTTCTCAGAAAGTTATTCTATGCTTCGTATAAACTTCAGAATTTAATCCTTTTTCCAACGGATAGCTTTCAGGGCTGTTTGATCAAATTTATCATGTTTAAAAAACAAGATAATCTATGGAATTGATAAAATAATTCTTGGAATACAATCGATAAGTAATCTATAGTACCGAAGTGTACACTTGAAAGACGGAGCTAAGGGCTCTCTCCATGGTCCGCCGTCTGAGGATTGAAGTCTGATTGTTAGAATCGCGCCAAATCGACGCAATTTCTTAGCGGGATTTTTGAAAATTTTCCCGCTCCTCACTCAAATCTTCCAATAACTACTACCTTCATGTCGGTAACGCCAAAATAATTTTTGTTAGTTGGTAAGCGAGCATCTGCCCGCAGGGACAACTTACGCGGGAGTCCTGGAGGTTAGGGCACACTCTCTCTGCCTCCCGACGTCATTACAAAATATAAAAAATCAACGCAGCGTTTTAAAAGAAATATGTATCGATCGTTTCACGGGATCCTTGTACATACACGTTTCATTGTTAATTCATTCTCCATTACCCGGAAAACTTTATGCCGGTTTTGTGACCCGTATAAAGTGGTGCGTAATAACGGTATTCGTACGATACTGGCGATCCTCATTGTACGGCTGGTACATTGTCGAGCAACGCCGGCATAATTGCAACAACCATTACGAAAAATCTGATGAGAAATTGTAGAAAAGCGTATACGACATCGTAGGACGTGAAATCATCCGTATAACTTTATAACGCAACGTTTGTAAACCGACCTTTATTCTTTTATTTTTACCTGCAAAATACACCATCGTGCTTAACCCTTTGAAGGGCGCATTTCTCTTCCGAAAGTTTTTAGAGTTGTTGATTACGATTCTGACGTCAGAATTGCAAAATTCAATTTATGAAAAATTAAAAATTTTTTTCGACAAAACTTGCATGCGAAAAATTCTGAAAAAAAGGTGGTACGAATACGTATCACTGCCCCTTAACGGGTTAAGAGAAACTTCAAAGACGTCCAGTGTAATTAGAATACTTAATCGTACTCTTATATTCATTTTCATCAACGTGTAACCAACGTCATTATCGATCAGGCATAAAGCAAAAGGCTCGTTTCCAAAGCACCGTTCCCGCAACCGTGAGATTACAAAGCAATAAAGTCGTCTGTCCTTTTAACAAAGAGCCTACGCTAAAAGGGTAGCCTAGTTTCTCGTTACACCTTGAGGAGGTGTTATCCGTTTCCTTTCAGCCAATAAATCCCACTATCGCGTGATTAATAGTCAACGCGAATATAGGCGTAATTTTTAATCAAGGAAAGAACTAACGCGTTAATTAAAAGATACCGTGAATTACATTGCTCGAAGGACACTGCGATGAATTTTGTTTCATCAGTGATAGACGCGTGGCTCGGTTTGCCGCGCAAATGACGCATAGATAGAACCTGGGCGCGGCGATAACTGTGCCGGGGACCGGAAGTAGAGTGGTGGCTCTTTCGCGCGAAAAGCGCTCTTCGAGTAAGCTTCCTTCTCGTTTGCAATGCCCTTACTCTTACCCCGAATTTCGCTCAAAGGCTGGCATTTTTGGAGATTTTTCTATCTCCATGTTGCCCAACGAACGCTTTCGACCACGCGCCTTCAGGGATGGGTTGGCAGCCCCGCCAACCCCAAACCCCGCGCATTTTTTAAAATTTCATTACTCATACTTGTCTATACTTTTAAAGTCTGCTCATCTTTTTTGCTTAAATCTGTGTGTGTGTTTGTGTGACCCCTTTTAGTCGCCTCTTACGACAGGCAGGGGATACCGTGGCCGTATTCTAAACCCCCCGAACCACAGGGGGCTAACGTCGTTTGCAATGCGTCCATGAATTTCATTTCTCGCTTTGTTCCAGGCAAGAATGTATTTTTATTCATGAAGTGGAAAGAGTATCGGGCATCGATCGATTAAAATTGCTAATTCGATCGGCTGCATAATCGTTACGATTAAAAGAAATTTCGATTGATTAAATCGATTAGCTATCAATCACTGATACCATCGACGGATGAGCTCTAGTATTAATTTCATTCAAGATAATTATAACTTTCACGAGTATATATGTTCACCTTTCTCGGTTGAAAATAATCTGCCACGCCTCGGGTGTACTTGAACGCAGTAGTTAGATAACGAGATACGCAATCAAGTATCAAATGACTAACATTCGACGCGCGTTCATTGTCGAGTTAATTGTCTCCAGAGCTGGTACGACAAATAATTATTCCGCAACGTCTAATTAACGCCTTGCTATTTAGAAGTGTTAATAGACCGGCGCCAATGATTCGATGAATGATAATCGAACGACTGGAATTATTTGAGAGAAAAGGAAAATAATGGTTCGGTCCATTTTTCGAGGATCGCGATTTCATGGAAATGCTTCTTTCGAACAGTGAAAGATGAGAGAACGGACCGGGGAATCTCGAGTTCTATCGGTTCGCGAAATCGATGGAGAGTCGCAGACGAGGAGGATATATATCTTGAGACGTGTCCGCGAAGTTGAAACGCTTTTGTAAAATCCATAACGCTCGTATGTGTCCCGTGTACGTGTTGCTGGCTTGAAAAGTTATCGCACATCCGGCGTGAAACACGCGCGAAACTCGCTTGGAATCCGCTCGCGGAGAGGCCTCGAGAGTCTCGAAAGTGGCTCAACATCTCGCATCCATCAGCGTGAAAAGCGTGAACAAGAGAAACGGAAATTACGTTGTTACATTCAATTTTCGTTCCCTCGTGTTTCGAATGCCAGCTTTCTGCTTTGAAATTTCAATATAGCTACGTCGGAATCATCGGATCGCGGTCCGACAAATTTCTGTAGCACCGTGATTTTATTTTGTAATCAATAGAGAAGATTGATCACCAGAAATTATTTTCTCTTCAACTACGCGACGCTAAGCTTCTCTATAAATATCAAATATTTATCCGGAGAGTCGGCGACGCATGGTCTTGGACGCATGTATGCACTTTTAAATATAATGGAAAAAATCGATATCCATTAAGAAAAACTTATTTTTTTGATGTATCTCGTATATCAAAAGGCACCGTCAGGTGATAAGAAAAAAAGAAACACAAAGTTCCTAAATAAAAATTGAGCATTGCGAGATAAGTCAGTATTGAACATCGATTAAAGACCCATTTGTCTCAATAAAGTTATCTTAACAATTAGCCACATATAAACGGGACAATTAAACGGATATTTATAGTGGTCGGTGCAACAAAAAGAAGTTTTATCTGCCAGATGGTAGTAAAACATTTTTATTCGTCCCTGTGGAATGATTTATCGCTGGGTGAACAGTGATTTATTATACTTATCGCCTTGTTGTCATTGCTCCAAAATATAATCTATGCTTCGAATTTCTATATAAATTCCATCCTGACACTTGAAACGTGTAGGTCTAAATGGACTTCGGAGGATTGATACAGTGCCGTTTGAAAAGTTATCAACATATCATTTATCGAAGGAGGCTAGCAGTTTGTTGAAACAGTGTTGAGCAACACTGGGGGCATCATTATTATTCTGCTAATTTGCGTTCGCGAGTTAACCGGTGTGTTCCTTGCGAAATACGATGCCTTCCACGAGATATTCGGCTCTCGAGGCGGTGATTTCGATTTTATAATTAACGATCCCTCGGGGATGTCGCAAGTTCCGATTGCGTAAGATACAGGCGTAGCACCGATCGTTCAGGCGAAACAGTAATTCACCAATGGTTCGATTGATTCGCAATCGCATCGAGTACCCGAGTTATGGGATCATAAATTGGAATTGTGGCTCTCTCCGTGGTCCGCCATCCGAGGGCTTGAAAACGCGTTATTTTCTTATTTATTTATTATACACTCTCATCGATCATTCTTTTCCTAGAAAACGCATCATATTATATTTCTACTTTTCTGAGGACCTATTTTGTTTCTAAATTACTTTTAATATTCCTACTTCTCTCGTAGTACCCTTCCGTTATAGATTATCTCTAGGAAATCCTCGATCGATCCCGAGTCTATTTCCTCTTCTCTAAGATTGCCTAACGGATCGGACAGCATTTCTATCTAATCTATGAGAACTACATATAGCATTTAATCTAGTAATCAGGCCGAGTCGAGTGATTCGGACGATTCGAATGGTACATGCTCGCGATTTCAATCTCTTCGGCAACGATCCGGTGATTCGACTCTCGGTTACAACACTCGAGATTATGGGAACGTTGGATTAGCAAGGAAGTTAATGGCTCTTTTCTCCGGCAGAGAAGAGATTTTCATTGTTCGGAGTTTCAGTGGTTTTGCTTTCGTAATTCGGAGTTGAACGGAAAGAAGGAAACTCAGGTGGCAACGTTTGAGTGAAAATAAGATAAAAATTTAAAAAAAGAACACACAATTTAACGCGGCCAAGAAGCGTCGTAATTAATTTGCATAGCTGTTTAGGTAGCCGATGTCTTGCGGAACACCTGCCACTTCTGGCGCGGGTAATTAGGAGTTGCACAGATATGTTAATTAGTCCCACTTGTTCGTTATTCGACCTCGGTATTCAGATGTTTTTCTAAACGAAAGATTTTCACGTTGAAAATGTAGATGAAGAAGAGTTTAAATTGAAATTTAAATGACCACTTTCACCTGTATTTTAAGCTCAATTTCATTCGAAAAGCGCTCGTACGAATCGCAAGTTCCTTCGCGCAACAGTGAAGAGGATACTTGAAGTTTGATGAGCGCTTCGAGGACTCTGCTGGGTGCAGCCAAGTTCTGACTGGCAATATAGCAAACCAGAACGCGGACGAACTTTGGGGAACGTCAAACAAAATATAGAAGTGACAATTCGATGCTCGGGAAACTTTGGGATTCGGTGGATGGAAAACGAGATATGATCCTGTTAGATTACCAGGGTGCCCTTATTGAAAATGGCAATAATACCAGGCAAGGTTTGATATATTACAAGCGGAAAACTCCTGCGGTGTCTTCCTTCCTCACTGCATTTCCGCCGTTTCTCGAGCGGCACGCAATTATCAGCCTCTATTACCCGCGGTTCCTTGCTATCGCGATGAAAGTGAATTATTTAGCAGGCTCTAATTAATTAGCATCGACGGTCTACTGTGCGGTGTCGTTTTCTCAGGAGCCGAGGAACACATCCTCGTTAAAGTCACCGCATTCGTAAGGAGGAGTCGTTTTCACGACATACACACTAGGGAACGATCGCTCTATTATTATTATTAAGCCTTGAAATTTGTCGCTTTTTTATACCCTGCCTCCTCTTAAGCAGCTTACCAACTGTATAAATAATAGCCTATCCGGTTAAGTTCGTTCCGTTCTCGTTGCATCTCTTTATCTTGCTGGCCAGCAGCGACAGGGGGTCGTTTTCTTCTTGCCTCTGCCAATGGGATAAAATTGTCTCTCGCAAATGGGATAAAATTGTCTTCATTAGCTTCCTTTTCACTCGAATCTGAAAAAGAAATAACATTTTATTTCTGTTCTATTCTGTTTCCTAAAATCCAAGATTATTTTCTTTTTTATATCTAATCTTATCGTGTTTGGAATTGAAATTCTTTCCAATCTGATCGATACATCTCAAATAGTACCACTATTAATGAGTCATTAATAGACGAACGCTTAAAATAGAGTATGTTCTTGTTGAAGAGGGTCATTCAAATTACCTAGACATTGTATAACCGATAATCTTAACATTATATTGATACTTCCGCTAAAGAGCCAGACGTTATCTGCTCGTAAGTCCTCTTCTATTTATCAAATACATCTTCTAAGCCGACTATCCCTGCAACTAAATCAACATTTGTTAACCCTTAGGCTTAGGTGTTCTTCCCTCTCCATTATATTACAGCGAAGAACTTCGTCTCCCATAGAAAGAAAAGACGTTTCATTATTTCAATTGTTACTCGTTATTTCCTTGGGAAATGGCACTACCGGTAATCGTTAACGAAACGTGTCGAACGATCTTCTTTTCGCTCTTTCCCACACGATCGGACAGTGAAAACTCGTCGTCAAAGCTCCATCGAGCAGCGAAATGCGATCTGGTCGAAATGGTAGAGCAAGAATGTGCTCGATCCGCGTTTGGTTATCGCGCGAGTGTAGGCAGGCGGCCGTAAGCTGTGCCGAGTAACAAACGAATCGATAATGGTAAATTGCCTGATGTATTATGCGCGTGATAAATAAACAGCTGAAAGTCTCGCGTGACTTACGGCTCGATTGTTCGCCAGGAGTACTCTTAAGGAAGGTGCAGTGTCGTTTAGCAAGGATAAACGAGGGGAGGAAGGAGCCAGGCGTACATCATGCGACGAATTATTTAGTTGCGACCCTGTTTAACGTCAAGTTCGAATAATAGGTACCTCGTGTAAAGTTAGACACGCGGATGAGCCAGTGGTTACTGCGGTCGCCTTCGAAATTCCTTCAAAGTCTGTTGAATATGCAGTCGATTAGTCCGTTGACCGATTAGACGGTTTCCCCTGGGCTTCGCTCCCTTGTTTCGCTAATTGATTTCTCGGACTATTCGTCGGGAACAGTGTCTTCATGCTCGTTGGACCTTCGAGGTGTTCACGCGACTATCCGCGTAATTGTCATACGAAAATTTCCATCGCGACCACCGAAGCGTTAAACCTTCGATGGACAGGCAATTACCATCGAAAGGGTGAAAACCCCAACCTCTTTTCTTTCTGTTTCAGGTTACCGAGGTTGTAGTCATGTAATACTTGGCAAAACGAGAAGGCTGATCTCTGCCCTCAGATTCGGTTGTGAACTCACTTCCCCTCCTTGGCTCGAACCTCGTCGTAGATTCCGATCAATCGTGGATCGGGTGATGATCTCAGGTGACAAAGCAACAGGACCCATTAGAAAATGTTTCGCTCAAAGATTCGCATTCATACATGTCAAGTGATACTGCTCACGTCGCTGGTATGGTTCCTGGTCGACGTGATGGTGTTGATGCTCTATTCGGACTGCATCGGAGGGTCCGGATGGGGATGTACCGAGAGCAGTAAACAGCAGACACTGACCGAGGAGAACCTGCCGCACGCGAAGGGTTTGGCGAAAGAGGAACAACAGATCCAATCGAGCTTCGATCACAGCATGAAGAGATACAGGCAATCCGAGCTACATCTTTGGCGTCCGGCTAAGGTCATACGTGAGAGCAAGGGTAAGCCCGGCGAGATGGGCGCAGCTGTGCACATCTCGCCGGAGGACGAGGCAAGGCAACAGGAGCTGTTCAAGTTAAATCAGTTCAATCTGATGGCCAGCGACATGATCTCGTTGAATCGATCGCTCAGGGACATCAGGCTGGAGGGTTGCAAAACTAAGAAGCACCCCAAGTACCTTCCGGACACCAGCATCGTGATAGTGTTCCACAACGAGGCCTGGAGCACGTTGCTGAGGACCGTTTGGTCGGTCATCAATCGATCCCCCAGAACTTTGCTCAAGGAGATCATTCTGGTGGACGACAAGAGCGAGCAAGGTGAAAGTCGTGGCTTAAAATACCACCCCAAGCACTTCGAGCTTTAAATTAACATGGATTAAATTGATTGTATAATCATATATCTGTTTCTGCATACGATAACGCGCGTTTAATCCACAGATCACTTGAAGCAAGATTTGGAGGACTATGTAAAAACGCTACCAGTACCAACGTACGTGTATCGCACCGAGAAGAGATCAGGCCTAATAAGAGCTAGACTGCTTGGGGCGAAACACGTGAAGGGTCAAGTTATAACGTTCCTCGATGCACACTGCGAATGTACCGAGGGTTGGCTGGAACCTTTGCTCTCCAGAATTGCCGAGAATAGGTCCACGGTTGTTTGCCCCATCATAGATGTAATTAGCGACGATACGTTTGAGTATATTCCTGCCAGCGATATGACGTGGGGTGGTTTCAATTGGAAATTGAACTTCAGATGGTAAGAATCAGCAAAATGTTTTCTTTATTTAATCGATTAAACGATTATTGTTGAAGAGCAGTTGGTATATTTAATTCTTCAATTTTTAAGGTATAGAGTGGCACAAAGGGAAATGGACAGAAGATTAGGAGACAGAACGGCTCCTCTGCGAACGCCAACCATGGCTGGTGGATTATTTTCTATTGACAAGGATTATTTTTATGAATTGGGTGCTTACGACGAAGGGATGGACATTTGGGGCGGTGAAAATCTTGAAATGAGTTTCCGGGTGAGTATGAATCAGTAATGATATTTATACTTCGTAATTAAATATTTCAAACAGAATAGATGATAATTTTTTCAAAGATTTGCAGGTGTTTCTCAAAGGGGATTAATGTATAAGAGTTTCTTGGACTCTTTGTTAGAAAAGTAATTTCTTGTATTTGCTTTTGCAGCTAAAATCTTTACTACTGTCGGTTTCATAGAAAACTTCTTTCCATATAGTTGTGTGTCTTCTTAATTGTAGTTAGATCTCAAGTTTGACATACTTTACGCGTTAATATGGAACTTACATTGTTGCTTCAATTTTGATTGCTTGGGAAATTGAGATCCAACGATTCTTTGAAAGTCCTAGTATTAGATGGATGATCTCCTCTTTGGGATGATAGATTTAAGTTTGCATTCCAACCGATGGGTTTCCTCGTTGATATTTCGTCTTCATGTGTGAAGTAATAAGTACCTTGTAGGTATGGCAATGTGGTGGGACGTTAGAAATCAGTCCGTGTTCACATGTTGGACATGTATTCCGAGACAAGAGTCCATATACATTCCCTGGTGGTGTCAGCAAAGTAGTTCTACACAATGCGGCCAGGGTGGCCGAGGTCTGGATGGATGAGTGGAGAGATTTTTACTATGCCATGAACCCAGGTTAGAAAATAACGTGTATAATCTTCACTGTTTACTTTATTATCTCTACAAATTACTTCAACTAATAACACTGATTATTCGACAGTGAATTATGTATTGGCAACTCTTGAATATCGTTTTAGAAAAGTGTGCAGCTGTTTGTTGACTGAAAAGAAAATCATACTTAACGGGTATCTGATACAATCTGATCTAAGATACAAAGAGGATTATAGCACACTTTTTATTTTCATTGTATTTAAATGTATCTTCATCTATAGATTTTGCCTATTCTTATTTTTTCTAATAAAAGTAACTTACCCTTGAATAATATGAACATCCCATAAATTTTGTCGCAAATGGTAACATGTGTAACAAACTAGATGTTAAAAGTATTAACACCCGTAATTACATAGTTAATATTAAGTATATTCCTCAGTGTAATATTAACCAAATTTTTCATTTACCGTACAGTTTTATAATTAACATATGCGTATTGATATATAAATGTATTTTTTTTTAGTACAAATTATATCATTGCAATTATTTTCATAAATTTCTTTACTGGTGTATGTGTGTGTACGTGTAGAACGGACATTGGGACTAAGTTGTTTCTCCATTTAGCCATGAAGATTTCATTTCCAGGAATACAATTTCTTTACTTTTTCAATATACTTTGGTATAGTCTTAACCACTCATCCATCCAGCCGACTAACAAAACAAGTTTGCTTGCTTTTAGTTGATATTATTTATAAATTATATTATAGGTACCAGAGAGGAGAGCGAACATCCATACAAATCGATTCTAATTTAATGTATTAGCTCCTTATGTTTTTTGGTTTGTTTTCTTGCTCTGTTTTAAAACCACCATTGTAATTGCTAACATACTAACAGAACTGAGTTGGTTAGATATGGATGTGTGGTGGGACATTGGAGATCGCAACGTGCTCGCACGTCGGTCATGTATTCCGTAAGTCAACACCGTATACATTCCCTGGTGGTACCAGCAAGATAGTGAACCACAACAATGCGCGACTCGCGGAGGTCTGGTTGGACCAATGGAAGTACTTCTATTACAACATTAATCCAGGTAGCACTAACACCAGTATTTCTGGAAAAAAAAAAAGAATAGACTGCAATACTGCTGAGTTCTCAAACACTTTGGCTTATTTATTTCGCATGTTTTATTTAATTTAATTTAATTTTTCTTTACTATGGTTGGGTGATGGTACGCTTTTATAAGTTGCATTCGCTGTAAGCTTAAGTGGAGTTGGGTAACAGCTACAAACGCATATATCAGATACCCGTTAATATTAGGAAGCTAATAAAGAAGTTTCTTTTTTGTTTCATGCATTTAAATAAAAAAAAAAAATATAAGAAAATGCTATGAATGATATACTGAAGAGAAGGGTTAATAGACAAAGTATCGAAAACAAATGAACATTAATAATAGCACAATTACTTCCAAGGGCAAGCATATACCATTAATACACCACACATGGCAATTTCTTTATTTTAGCACACATTTCTGATCACACCTTTCTTCCAGTGGACATTCATACATGCAAGCACATTAATTGCATCATATAGATTTCAAGTGATTGCTAATTGAAAGATATTCAAACGATCATTTTATTTACAGGTGCTCGTAATGTAGCCGTCGGTGATGTATCTGAAAGGATTAAGCTAAGGGAACGTCTGAAATGCAAAAGTTTCAGATGGTATCTGGAGAATATTTATCCTGAGTCTCCAATGCCGTTAGATTATTATTATTTGGGTGATGTACAAAATGTTGACACACAAACCTGTTTGGACACTATGGGTAGAAGAACAGGTGAAAATGTTGGAATTAGCTATTGTCACGGATTAGGTGGCAATCAAGTCAGTAAACCAAATATCATTTTTCTTTTCTTGGTTCTTCTTTAATCACTTTCTGTAATAAAAACTTTTGTATTTAGGTGTTTGCTTATACTAAACGACAGCAAATTATGTCTGATGATATGTGCCTTGATGCAGCTGGTCCCCAAGGTCCTGTCAAAATAGTAAGATGCCACGGTATGGGAGGAAATCAGGCATGGGTTTATAACGAAGAGGTATGATGAAATTAAATCAGGTGTAATCAGTAAAATAATTATTAACATAATATTTTCTTTTGTTCATAGACGAAGATGATTAAACATACGAATACAGGGCATTGTTTATCGAAACCTCGTTCAAACGATGCAATGCAACCTGTCTTAGCACCATGTAATCCTGATAACCGAGGTCAGAAATGGATAATGCGTAGTAAATTTAAATGGCAAGCCAGCTAATACGAGCTGTTTTTAAATGCAACACCATTATGCAATACTTGTTGATATATTTACTGCTACATTGAAGAACTGATAGTCAAAAAAATTTCTGTACATGCAACATCAAGAAGATAGTATTATACTTGATAAACATAGTCCTGTATCGTCGATCCGCTAAACCATCAATGGAGTTGATGATGTGGAAGATAAATTAATCTATACCTTAAACACGAGAGATTGAAGTTAATGCGTTTAGTTAAATAGGATTTATTTACTGTTGCTAGCAGTATCATGTATTTACTGCCATTTCTCATGGTATGCCTTGATTGATAATGCACAAGTGTTAAGAAACAGAAAAGAAAAAATAATACAAAACTATTTCCAGCTGTGTGTGAAGATGTATACAAGTGATATGAAGTGAAGAATTTTTTTTTTTTAGCAAACAGTAGAGAGAAAAGCATATCAGACCACTGTTATAAATAAATAATTGTTAATACTAAAGAAAAGAGACATATTTGATAATGTGGGATGAGTGCAATGCCGGATGACTGAAAGATATATCAGTGCGCTAAACTAACGTTATGTTTACAGCGTATGTGGTTACTATTACAGAGTGAATGGAGGTATGCGAGCGAAATTATTGTGACACTATCGATTACGATTTAGAACTTGTACTGTATAATTTTCTAGCGATTAGGGAAGAGCACTGAATCTTTTTATACTGGTATTTCTAACAGTTCCTTGTTAAATCTCGTTCATATAATTTAGTTGTTACTTTCTTTTATACTTGTTTAAAATGATAAATGTACTTATATCTGAATTCGCCATAGTAATATGAGATTACATTAATGGATCATCGTTTAAGGATACGAGAAAATATCGACTGTTATTCACTACTGTGTTATGCTTCAAATACTTTCTTAAATTCATGGCAGAATGTCTTCCGTATTTTTTTATTAAACAAAAAAAAGTAGATATTTTTATGATATTCCTAAGGTCTTTTATAGCTGTAAACCTTCATAGATTCGAACCCCCTTTACCTGTACCTTCTACGTACTAGAAGTGTACCGAAAATTTAGAGTGCAATATACTTCTTGAGTAAGACTTTGAAGAAAACAGTTTCCTATAACTAATGTAAAAATGTTGTTACCAGATTCTGGCGCCCTTCCCTTACACTACTGTAGGCCAGAGTTCACGCTCTGAAACGATAGTCAACAAAACGTAAAACACTGTTTCTGGAAAATGTTGACTGATACACTTACATTTGAAGTTGAGAAAAGGAAAATAATTCTGTAACTTTAAATGAGAAAATATTGAACTACATTTATAATATTTAAAATATATATGACTCTGAAATTTCAATTTAGGAGAACTTTAATATAAAAGGATATGCTTAACTTTATGTTACACAAAGAAATGGTGATGGTGCAACAAATTATCATTTACAGCTTAATTATATGTTTAATTATTCGTACATAACTATAGTATTTATTTTTGTACAGAACTCGATTTTTATTAAATCAATACATTACTTGAATAGATCTTTAATTAATAAATATATTAGCTGAATTTGTAGATAAATTATAAGTTGTTTAAAATGATATGGTTAAGTTTAATTAAATTCGAGTAAGTAAATCGTACACAAATATAGAGAAAATAAAGTCAATAACAATGTGTAAACACTATTTAATCTCACGAATCATCAGTTGGAACTGTTTATGGTGAATTTATGAGTATGATTTTAAAATTATGATTTACATTCATTGAATTCATCTTAAGAGTATTGTTTATATATGGAAGTAATATATCGTTAATTAAAGTAATTATGAACACTTTGTTAAAATTTTGTTACACGTGAATGTATGAACATGTCTACAAATATTATTTAGATAACAGAAAAAGGAGTATGTTTTTGTGGCTTATAATATAAACAAAATTCGACATGAACATACTTTTGAGGACAATAAAAAAAAAAGAAATAATGTACTTTGTTTTAGCATCCTTCTAATTTTTAGAAGGTTCATTTTTAAGCTTTAAAATTAGGATATTAAAGTTATGGGTTCAAATAAACAAAGATCTTCAAATTTTATGGTAAGATATTTACTGTATTTACTTATTGTTCTTTTACTTCACGTAACCTCCTAACTGCAGACCTAACTGAAGCAGCAGCTGTTGTTGAGTAAACCCATGCACCTCCTGCAACTGTTCTTTTGCATCGTTTGCATGACCAAATTCCTACAACACTTCTCTTCATTGCATCCTGTCACATGATGCAAACAAATTTACACATGAATTTTTCATTAGAAGTTTTAAATATCATGTTAAAAGTGTAACACTCACCTTGCCACAGAATGTACAGGTATATTTACTGTGCTGGGTAATTTCCATCTTCTTAACCATCTTTCTGAGGGAGGCACCATATCTGGTACCATATTTCCCTGTGATTCCAACCTTCTTTGTACGTTTAGCCTAATATATAGAAATAAGTGTTTTGTAAACTCTACAAAGTATAATATGCAGTGTTTGGTTGTAAATCATGGAAAGGTTATGTTGATTAAATTTTCAGCATGAACTTTTCATTCAAATCTTTCATAAATAAAATAGATCAGGCATATTATATCATTGTACTCCTATTATTTAAAATACTTTTTTAATGTGACAAATAAGAAATACGATCTTTAATAAAAGTATAAACAATTTCATGTCACCATTCTAGGTTATTTTCAAACATTATTGATGATCTGCACAATATACATTTAAACACTTCGCTAATAGTCTTTCTTAACACAACATAACAAATTTAATCAATATTCTTATCAGATTTACAAAGTATTTTACAATAAAATTCTTACCATTTTGCGTAAATATAACGTACGTTCCGCAAGAACCGGAAAAAGGAATAGGATTTAAAGTCCAATTCTCACTGTGCGCATAAATCACCGGAAACGCGGCGCATACAATGGCGCGCATTCATGTAAGGCGCAAATTTGAATCATAAGTTTTAGAAAAGAAACTTTATGTAAATTTAACGCAGAAATCATGGTTAAACGAAATCGAGTCCTTTTCAATTACTTCTACTATCATTCAGGAAGAATGGAACATGACGATAAAGTCAACCAAGGGATACAATTTCATTAAAATCATTTAACACGAAAAGGCGCAAACACGATGAATATGTAATCTTATTTTACCAAAAAATTTGTTTGGACAGGTATGTAGGCTATGCAGTTGACCTCAATAATGCACCGTTAGGTTACGATAAAGTACTTATCAGTGTTAGAATTGTAATAAGGCGGTGGTTTGAAGGAAACCAGGATTCGTCATATAGACGCGCATGAGAACACTCGAAAACCGGCCTGAAATGACGTAGCCAGTGGATCCCAGACTAGCCAGACCTGTACGCGTTAAATCAGTGTTGCTTTATTGTTGGCGATCTCCAAAGTAATCGTCTATAGTGATTCACCGATCACTATCAATCCGCGGAACCACTAATCGTGGCATACACCTAACAGAAGTGCCAGAGTGTCAATTGGTACAAAGGTGTTGGCTAACGATGGTTGTTAAAATCTACATATCGGGTATCAGCGGGAACAAGGAAGTGAGTGCAAAACACTCGTACTGACCAAAGAATATAAAGATATTTTATACGAGAACAGAGAGCGAGAGAGAAAGAGAGGGAGTAAAAAGGGTGTGCGTGTATTTGTGTGACTTGCAGAGAATGCCAGATTTACCGGGCACCTGAATTCTAACGATATTTCATTGTATCGAATTACATCTGAAATCTTACGACCCAAGCGTTGATTGAAAACCAACGCTGTCAGACGATCTACGTTTAACTAAACGCGACATACGGAACGATTTACCGTTCAAACGATTCGTTTCTCTTCCAAAATGCAACTTTCCTTTCATTGGATACACTTTAGAAAGTGTACGCTAGATTCGGTGAACAATAGGGTGGTTTCAAGTATAATGAAAGTAATTGAAACATTTAACAAAGGGTATAGCATAGAACTGGGAACGTATTCGTGGATAATAGAACCGGGAGTTTTGGGTAATCGAACGTTTTGATTAATGTTTATATTCATTGTGATAGAATTTCGTTATTTTAAGTACCGTTGATTTTTCTACTTTTACTTTGATCTTATTTCGTGTCAGTTCGCACATATTTTTTAATACCGTTTTTAATACCGTTAGGTTTTAACGCGTACAATGGTTGACGCGGTTACACCGACACCCGTTTCTTCAAATCGATAATTGTTTTGTATCGCACCACAGTGCAAAACAATTAACGTTTCATTATCAAATCTTCAACCGCATTGTTACATTTTTTCCACAGCATACTTATACAATGAAATGACATACTTAAAAACAGACTTTCTATTCTTTATAATGACTTATATGTTTTTTTTTTCTTTCAGGTAAAAAAGAGGCAACAACGTGTTTTAATGATATTAGACAGTAAAAATGTGGAATACGAAACTATTGACATAACTGAACCAGGAAAAGAGATGGAGAAAGAATTTATGCAATCTAATAGTATTGCAAGAGAAAGTAAATATCCATTACCTCCACAAATATTTAATGAAGATGAATATTGTGGGGTAATTATTTTTATATCAAACAATAAAACATGATAAATTTCTAAGTGTAAACTCTGTAAATTATACATTTGATTTATAGGATTATGAAGATTTTGATTTGGCAAATGAAATAGATGAATTGGAACAATTTTTGAAAGTGGCACCTCCTGCTAGTGCAACAGAAACTGCTCTTGATTCAAATCAGAGTAAGGACATTCAAGAAAATGGAAATACTACAAGTCGAGAGGTATAAATTCTTATTAGTTTACTATAGCTCAGTCATATCTAACTAAATGTTAAGTACAATTACATTATTCAAGACACGAATAACATTTTATCTGTAATTGTTTGGTTACTTTAATTCACTTATTTTTGTCCTTGAAACTAAATTTATACTTTGTCCATACTTACTACTATGCATTTATTTTAGCCTTCCATAGATAAAGATGTGGCAACAGTACAGGCAGAAAGGTAAGCACTATACACGTATTAATTGCATTACTTTGTAATTGGTTATTCAAATTAGGTGATTGCTATAACTCTAAATATATGTAAATAGAAACCTCAAACTTTTTTTTATATGTATATATGATTACTGCTTTAAAAATAATCTTTTGTCATCCTAGTACAGAGGAGAGGACAACTTTGCCAGATGAAAATATAGAGCCAGATGAATCTAGACCTACAGATCATGATGGTGGAACAAAAACAGAGGAGGATGCAGAGGATATGAAAGAGAGTGTTGAAAAAAATGAAGAAAAATCTGGGGATCAAGAGAAGGAAGAGTAGGTGTTAAATAAGCCCATATGATAGTGGGACATTCATATTTTTTTGACATACTTGGTTTTTTTACCAGTAAGGGTATTTTATAAAAGTTATATTTATCACACTTCTAAGGCTGAGTGAAGGTACTGCCAAGATAAATTCCTGCTTAGCAGAAAACATATTAAACAAACAGTATATTCGAAGTATAAGTGATACTTTTATAGAAATATTTTATATTGCGATCAAGCATGTTTTCATCATCAGATTTTCAATAGATCTGATTAGAAAATATGAATTAATTTCATCATTTTTCATATCAGTAGTTAATATAACTTTTTTTTTAATTCTTTATGCCAATATTTTTGATTGTTTATGCCGTATTTTATCTTTTATTTTTAATCACGATTTTAATAATGCTGTAAGAATAATAAATTTTCAGTATTGAGGATATTTTTCTGTTACTCACTAAAAGGATAATGAAATTATTTGTTTTCATTTCAGATATCTTATTAGGTATTAATTTCATAATTGTTTTTAAGCGTTTACTGAATGCCTCTGTAGATTCACCAATGGTCTAACAATTAGTTATAAACTATACTTCTCAGTCGTAGTGAGAAGCAACTTCCATAAATGCTCCAGATTTTATCATTTTCATTATCTGATTTTATGTGAAATTTTAACAAAATGTAGATTTTTATTACGTAATACTAGTAAGTTCGGACAGTACAACACTCAGTTTTGCATAAGATTACAAAAGACGACACAAAATTAGTTACGATAAATTTTACAAATACCGTGCGCACTAATACTTCATTATTATCAAGGTCATTCTGAAGTAATTCTTGATAGTATTTCCATGAAAGTTAGAATTAATTTAGGAAATTTTTTAGTTTCCCATAATCTATCTGATAAAATTTAAGTTGTTATATTTGTAATAATCTTATTATTGCTAATCTAATTCGTACAGATACTTCAAAAGAACTGAAAATAAAACAGGTATAGAGCAATTTTTTTAGTGATAGAAATCATGAAAATCTTGAACCCATTTAATCAAAGGCCTACTTACGATTATTTCTACGAAAATTAATATCGATAAAATATATTTAGCCATACTATAGTATTCATTTACACGGCTTGTAATAAATTTATACTCTACTTACTTGCTGATCAGATAATAGGCAGGTATGCATTACGAATAAATCAAAAGCTTTATGCGAGTTATGAACCATTTGTTATAAGGCAAAAAAGCATAAAAATAAAGTTTATGCGCGAGATAATAAGCCTGACTAATTTTAATATAACATACTGCGGCTTTTAAATATCAGATATTCGCTGTTATAATTAAGCTAGCAGCAAAAAAACAAACAGCAAAAAGCTTTACTACTTTCAAATTGAGATGTCCACCTCGTTATTATTACAGAATTATATATTCATAAGCAATAGGTGTTGGACATGAGACTTAGAATTAATAAATTTTAACATTACATATTGGAAATACATAATTTATATTTATGAGAACAATTATTCGCTATACACGATGTATATGAGTCATATCGATCATTGTTATACATATATATGAATCTACTAATAAATATCATTACAGAAATTCAATATTCTGTCTAAATAATCCTGCATACGTATTTTATACAATTTGGTAAGTAATGTGTCACTAATCAACTATATTATTACGTATTTTTATAAGATAGGTTTATATTTTCTCCATTTAACTATGAATTAATAAATATACTTTCTAACTTTCTATACTAATTAACGTTATATCATATATGTTAGGAATTATATTATCGGTACTGTTTTTTTATAAAAAATTTATTTTTTATATTAACAATAATAAGATGACTAGCGTTGTTAATGAATGTAAAAATAAAATATCTGCGCTTGTAAATAGCTTTTGAATACCATATTAAGAATTACACATCTGAACGTTTGTTTAGAATATAGATTTCATTTAAATTTAAAGCACAAATTAACTAGGTACAAATTAAAGAAACGCTTCAAACGTATATTGCACTTGAAAGTATATTCCCTAATTTGTTTCTATTCACATATTATCAATAGCCATTTGTTGGCAAGTATAACTAAAATCTATCATCTATGTGATATGTGTAAAATACAAATTCTTCAAATATCTTTTCCTTGTACGTTTGTAGTCTCTCTTACGACGAAACGAGAACACCCTGAAAACAACAATTGTCAACGCGAATTTCATGATATTTATGTAACTACTACGTATAAAATAATTATCTACAACAGAGCATATAATTTTTAAATAATTTGTATAAATATATAAACTATAAAATAGAATTTAAGATTCTATCGTAACGAACTAGATAAATTAATTAATAATTTTGCTATTTTATGAATTTTTTTAAATCAAGAAAAAAATATTTAGATCACAAAATAAATTTTTGTATTTAAACTAAAACATTGGCCAATTACTTTTCAGCAGGTTTAATAAAATTCAATTCATATTTAAACCATAGTACAGAAATAAGTTTTTCTGTACTTTTAAACGAATAAAAAAAAAAAGAAATTAATGTGTGTATTTTTTTTACGACCTTAATTATTTATTTTGGATCATTTATGTTAGGATTAATGTTTGCTGTGCACTTTTATTCATACATCTCAATGTATACATGTTACACAATATTTTTACTAATATACATTCATTATGAATGTAGAAATTATATTAATTAATGTTGATAATTACTCTGAAGTAACTTATATAAGTACAAGTATTGCTTGTAATAACAGACATTTGGGTATACTAAAAATGATATAACATAATGCATAGAATTCACACAGTTTCTAAGCATGATTCATAAAATCATAATTCTAGATACTGTAATGCAGCTTTTCTATAAGCACATTGGAAGTTAAATTACTCTGCACGAGTATTATGCAAGTAATAAAACTGAAACTTGACCTGTTCTAAGATAAAAAAAGAAAAGAATAAGAACAGTACAATTAAAAAAAAAAAAAAGAAAAATAAATAAAGATAATATTATTTTTAATATAACTGTACAAAATGTACTACTGTAAAAGCTGCATAAACAATCCTAGACATCATTCAACAGTCATACAAAAAACCTGATTAATACAAGTAGTAATGTTTCATCAATTTGTGTATTGACACCTATAGTAATCGGTAAGTTATTATATTCTTTAGTAACATTTAGTAATGTTACTAAATATTATGCAATAATAGACTATTAAACTACTAACTGTTGTTCAGTAACATATAAAGACCATGAAAGGCATCTCTCACTTTATCACAAATTGCTCTTATTCTTGTATATATTACTATCCATTAAAAACGAAATGATCATTAGTATTCATACTGATGACACTGTCATACATCATTTCAATGAATACACTTAAAATAAAAAATCTAAGGAAAGAATTGATATTCAATTGAATGTTATGCTAAAGTTTGTACTTTACTATTATGCATTGAAAGAAACAAAATCTGAATCATGAATACATTCAGCACTACTTGAATAAAAGCTAGAAAAGTCTTAAAATGCAGCAATCAGTGATGTGAAACATATTAATACAAGAAACAGAGTTCACTGGTACAGCTAACTAGTGAATATTCTCATTTTGTTCATCACATTTTAATGATTTTCTTTTGCAATAAAAATATATATATATCTGTTTTAATATATAATACTATTTACATACAAATTGAACAATAACATACTGCTCGAATTTTATAAAACTGGCATTTCAACATTGAATTGTTTTCAACATGAGAAAACGATCTTTTAATAAATAGTAATAAATATCGATACTCGTCAAATCAAGATTAGGACATATTCTGAAAATCGAAATATTTAGAAAAAATTGAGATTTATAATATGTAAAATAATTTTTTTGTTTTGATTATAATTAAATGTACAACTATCTGAATGAAAAATTTATTTTAAAACATTACTTGCACCTGTAAAAGGAGTGCTATTATTATGCACGTAGCATTTTAAAATATTGCATAAAAGTTGTGCTTTACCTCAGATAATGAAATGTTCTACAATACTTTTTCTTTTCACAAGTGTACTAAGAACTTTAAAATTACACATATGTAGCACCAAAGGAAAAAAAAATATTAATCATGAACTTGTGTGATGTTTGAAATAATTGTACTTGTTACTTTATAAAGTCATGAACTCGCACGTTCACGAGTAAGTATCTTGACACTATATTACGTATATATTACAATTAAAATCCAATAATGAAACAAAAAAAAGGTAGAATTTGCTTACGACTGTGAAAATCATAGTAAGCACTTTTCACTGGAACTATAAATATTAATAACATCTTTGCACCACGATCTATTGTTATACCCTTCGCGCGACTACATGTTCTTTTTATAGAAATACTTATTTCTTTTCATTTAATAGAAAGTAAAGATAAAAAAAATTTCAATTGATATATTATGCAAAAAAAGATCAATCAATCTGTACCAGATTGATTTATCTTAGTAATAGCAAACCATGTTACTTACAGTCTTACATTAAACAGAAGTCAGTCTACAGAAGGTTTACGTGATGTCTTCAATATCTAAATATATTTGGATTCTCACCCTCTATTGCACACGTAAAAGTAAAATACGTATATATTTATTAGCCGCAAATGCATAATTAAAAGTCGAATGTAGGGTAGATCGTAAATAAATACAAAATTATGCATTGTATATAAAATTGAATAACATATTAGTAAGAAATTATTTCTACTAAATATTTTTTAACTATTAACATACGAATAAATAAAATATTATGCATGATTATGCTTGCTGACTATTTGCAGTTTATTAAACTGCACACAGAATTTATTTACGTAAAATTATATACGTTTTTACTTTTTATGCAATGAATTAATAATTTAAAAACATTCACAATAATAATTTGATAAACAAAATGTTAGTATATGCATTTTTCTAATATCTTAATCCATTTTCATTATTTTATACCACATCTCACCTTCTGTGATTGATTTTCTATTAGTTTATGTTTCTATTGTAAGTACTAACTTATTAAATTGTATGCTAATAAAGTTCAATTAATCCGTACCAAAGTATTTCTGTCCAAAATGATTTGGGGCAACACTATGAATTTCTGATGTCAAAATCTTCATCTATAAAAAGGAAATTTCAGACAAAAAATTGAGTTATGATATAATCTGCAAACTATTTGCATCTGTGTGTACTAACTACATTTGCTCTGAGAATGTATTATACCTTTTAGTGATAAAGAAGTAAACTTATTTAAAAACATTACCTGAGGAAAGGCAGTGACTAGAGATTTGGCTGCAATTGGTGTGCAAAACAGATTTGATAGAATAATGTTTTCTTCGAGTACATTATGTTCCTTTAACACTGCCATTGCTTTGATCACAGTATTTCCAGTACCTTCAATCAGTTCATACATTAATTATTATGCTTCAAACATTAAAAAAAAAAAAAAAAAAAAAAAAATGGGAGCATTTCTAATTATGACTTAAAACCATGTCCTTACTCATTATTGGATACATTAACAAAACTTTTCTTTCAGATATATCATCTGGAAATTTTGCATAAACTACTTTGGCCTCGTGCGTATCTGCATCACTTTCAACTAATATTTTTCCAATCCTAATACTGCGACAACAATCTCTTAAACCCTATATATAAAGTAATAAATATAATCAAAAAATCTCAATTGCTAATGACTATACAAATTAATATTATACTTGTTCCATTGCTTCTCCACTTCTTACTATGGATACCCCACAATTTCCTTTTTGGTACTTCAAACCATTGTATTTGGCTCCTGTTGGTGTAGTTACCACACATTTGGAAAAGGGTAACTGATTTAAACTTTCTTCTATAACTAGCCTGATCTGAAAGTTTAAAGCTCTATATATATATATATATATACCTTCTTCCTTAAATATATATATGGCTAATCTTATTTTTTGTTAACAGGAGTATAAAAAAAAATAAAAAGTATTTGTTATTATTAAAACCATGATCATTCTTGAGCAAAAACCGTATATGACAGTATAACTAAATGAGAGGAGTAACTCACCAACCGGTCGGCGTAAAACTTGAAATCGCTCCTCGTGGTGTTTCTGTAAACGAAGATGCATCATACTCATTAATATATTTAATTGGAAACAGACGATACGATGTACCGGCATTGTGCCGGTATATTAACTCTAGAAAAAAATCCTATATGCAAACCGAATGATTTCCTTTAGTTAATTTACTTACTTATCCCGTAGTATAGTCTGCAATTCTTTCACTTGGTTATTACATGGAAGTGTTTTTAAATTTGGACCATAAATATCACCGATATCAGTGCTTTCACTCAATTTCTTTGGAACTGTTGTTATTTCCGTACTACCCATGCCTAATTTTTTACACATATACTATTTATCACGTTGATTGAGCGAAGGACACAGTTCATATGCGGTGATATCCCACAGAGCAATCAGCAAATTCCGCTGCCATTAACAAGGCAACTAATAGAGATATGATTTTGCAAAGGAACTAATGATGCTAGTGAAAAGAATTAATTATATTAAAAAATCAAAACCGATTTTCTTAGTTTACAACAGTAGTAAGTATAAAAATCAGTTGATGCTTGTACAATTTTTATTCTTATTAAAATTAACTGTTGTGTTAGTTACCTTTTCAAAATTTTGTGCAATATAATTTTAATCGTGTAATACGATTTTTATGGATTATTTGATATACATATATGTATATACAGTAAAAAAGAATATATGCCAAAAGCGGATCATGATTGGATGTATAACGCATCAGTATTTCTAGTCTTAAAAATGATTTTGGTGAAAACTGATTCCATTGCGTTTCTAGACAGAACGTCGAATTGATCAATATTTAAGCAAGATTTTGTGTTGAAAGCAGGGAACATTAACAGTGTAAAGGTACATACAATAAAAATGTCTCATCCTTACGGATCAGTTTCAGCACAAGGAAATTATGCACGTCGCAGCAAACATGGTAAACAAAATTATTACAAAAATTAATCAGTATAACCACATTTATGTAATTGTATGTTTAAATTGCAGTCTGTATAAACTACAATCTTATCTCTTTTACAGTTTGATAACATGTGCCATTAGGCAATGTAACATGTAATAATAATTGTTTGTAAACGTTATAAGAATATTATACTTCAGTTAGGTTAGAATTGCTAGTTTGACATTAGAATTGTATTCTTCTAATATTGCGTGTTATGATTTTTGTGCAGGGAGCAAAGTTGATAGTTCTCAATCTGAAAGTTCACGCACTGAACATCATGGTGCTTCAAGAAGCACAGGGCAAAGACATCCTCCATGGTTAAAGGGAAAAGATATAGGATTATATTACAGAGACAAAGCCATTAACAAAGCTAAACAAAAGCAACAATCCATCTGCAACATTAAGCTTCCATCGCATGTTCAAGATAAAATTGAAAATTTGTTAGAAAGATCTAAAGGGTATTATGATAAACTACATAACAATGAAGCTTGTACAGAAGATACCAATACTGCATTGGAGAATAAATATGTTCATATTCATGATTCCCAGTTTAAGAGAAAGTTTTTAAATATAGTGTCTGGTAATATACAAGAGAATCTTGCCAAAGCTTTACTTGTTAAATCAAAGTTAGACAAGGATAATGATATAGATGAGAAATTAATAAATGAATATAAGGCAAAACAGTCTTTGCAAGAATATGAGAATATGATGAAATTTCGAACGAAACTGCCATCATATCAAAAAAGATCAGAAATATTAGAATTACTTAGAGAAAATCAAGTTGTTGTAATAAGTGGAGAGACTGGTGAGTTTATTATTAAAGATGTGATGTTAACTCTACTAAGAAATTCTAGCTATTATATAGATGTATTTTAGGTTGTGGTAAAACAACACAAATTGCCCAGTTTATATTGGATGACCAAATAGAACAAGGCAATGGTAGTGTTACCAAAATCATTTGCACTCAACCTAGAAGAATATCAGCTATATCTGTTGCTGAAAGAGTTGCTGCTGAAAGAGCAGAAAAACTTGGTAGATCTGTAGGTTTCCACATAAGGCTTGAAAAGTATGTTATTATTTTAATATTTTTTAACTTATTTTATCATTGTTTTATTATATCTTCACTTCTTATAGAGTATTACCCAGAGATAGAGGAAGTATATTATTTTGTACTACTGGGTTATTATTACAATTCATGCAAGGTGATCCAGCTTTAAAAGAATTCTCTCATATTATTCTGGATGAAATTCACGAACGTTCTACAGATAGTGATTTCATTATTGCTCTATTAAAATTAATTATTCCAAAGGTATAATTAGTGTCATTCAATTCAAATTTCAATAAAGTAAAACTGATGTTCCCCCTTTAACATATATACTAATTTTAGAGGCCGGATTTGAAAGTTATTTTAATGAGCGCGACGCTTAACTCGGACACATTTTCAAAATATTATAATGGCTGTCCAATAATTCACATTCCCGGTTTTACTTACCCAGTGGAAGAATTTTATTTAGAGGATGTTTTATCACTCACAAGGTAATATTTTTTGCTATGCTTACTTTAAACAAGAATCCGGACAAAAATTAGAGTATATATCAATTTATAGATTTAAGTTTCCTGAAGCACAGCTTCCCCCTCAAGATCATAGGAAACACAGTAAAAAATATAAAAAAATGCAGGAGACCACAGATGAGTTTTTCAGAATCATAGATCCACACATCCGCAGACTTATAGCACAAGCAAGTATCGTTCTTATGCGATGGATTAGTTTATTATTTTCTCATTTTCTCGATTAATTATTTTTATTTTACTACAGAAAACATTTCCAAGACACGTGACTGATCAGTTAAGAAACCCAGAAAGTGAGAAATTATCTCTTGAACTTACAGAACAATTGATTAGGTATATCTGTAGTACAAAAGGTCCAGGAGCTATTTTAGTTTTTCTTCCTGGTATGATGGATATAATAAAATTACACAGGATGTTGTTAGATAGTGTACGATATCCTGATAGTAAGTGTATTTTATGGACATAATATATATTGTTTTTGATGATTGTAATAATTTAAACAATTGTTTGACGTATAGGTCAATATGTTATTTATCCTCTTCACTCTCTTATGCCAACAATTGATCAAAAACTCATATTCAAAGAACCACCCGAAGGGGTTCGAAAAATAATTATCGCTACTTCTATCGCTGAAAGTTCTATAACTATCGAAGATATAGTATATGTCATTGATTGTGGAAAAACGAAATTTGGAAAGTTTGATATAGAGAAGAATGTACAAACTTTAGAACCTGAGTGGATATCCTTGGCAAATGCGAAACAAAGAAGAGGTAGAGCAGGCAGGTAAAATAAGTGATACTCTATAGAAATGAACTTGTTGTTTAAAATATATCTGTCTGATTAATTGTATTTTATTTGTTTAGAGTAAGACCTGGTTTTTGTTATCATTTGTATTCGAAAGCTAGAGAAATGACGTTTGAACAGTATCCATTACCGGAAATGTTAAGAACACGATTAGAGGAAGTTATTTTACGTATAAAAATTTTACAATTAGGAAAGGCTAGATCTTTCCTAGACAGTGTTATGAACCCTCCAAACTGGGAAGCTATAGATTTATCTTTAAATTTACTCAGGACCCTGAATGCATTAGATAATGACGAAAATTTAACACCTTTAGGGTATCATTTGGCACAACTGCCAGTTGATCCACGAACAGGTAATATTTTTGTTTGTGAACATAAATTTTTATTATAATTTTCTAACGATCTCTGCATTTTTAGGAAAAATGATCATATGGGCAGCATTATTTTCATGTGTCGAACCAGTATTTGCAATCGCAGCGAGTCTAAGTTTCAAACACGCATTTTACTGTCCTCTAGGGAAAGAGGCAGAAGCAAAGCAAAAGAAACTTGAGCTTAATAAGGAGCAATATAGCGATCACATAGCATTAGCCGAAGCATTGACGAGATTCGAATCTTCGTATAGAAGGGGAAATGCTGGTTATTTTTGTAGAAATTATTTTCTTTCTTTTAGTACGCTGAAACTTCTTTCCGAAATGAAATCACAATTTGCTCAACATTTGTACGAAATGAAATTTTTGAACAGTCAAAACCCTAGTGATCCAAATGCCAATAGAAATTCTCATAACATAACTTTGGTAAAAGCAATAGTATGCGCCGCATTATACCCAAATGTTGCTGTAATCAGGTGCGTAAAATTTCTAACGTAACAATATAATATTGCAACACAAATTTTAATACATTTATCCCATTTATGTCTTTCAGGGATGTCACAAAAAATGGAACGCTTGCATGGACTCCGGAAGATGGTCGAGTTACTATACATCCTTCTAGTGTAAATGATAAAGTCAAGCAAGTTCCTAGTCAGTTTATTACATATTTTACGAAACAGCGATCAACTGCAGTATATTTACATGACACTACATGTGTTACCGTTCCGATTCTTATATTTGCTGCTCCGAATATCTGTATAAGTACGTAAATGAATGTTTCATATTTGTATTAATTAAAATACCTAATGTTTTCATTGATGTTTTGGACTTTTCAGAAGTAGAAAAAGGAAATTTCGTTATCACTTTGCCAAGTTTTCAAACTTTTCCTTGCGATCAACGAACTGCACAACTCATTCAGGTATGAAAATACATGAAAATTTACTTTTTAAAAATGATAATTTACTGACATTTTTTGTTTGAATTATTGCAGAAACTACAAGATCAGTTTAATAATATGTTAGAATATAAAATTACACATCCAGGAACAGTAACCTGGAATAATTACGAAGGCGACCTACTAAAGTAAGTGTTGTGCACTGTTTAAATGCATTTTTTTGTTATGTTTTATCTTTATATCGAAACACTAACTTAATTTATATGATCCTAGTGCGATTATAGATGTGGTCTGCCAAACAAATGAGAGTATGGGATTTTCCAAATCTAATGTTCAAGAACAGAGAAATAATACGTATGATGATGTTTGAATATTATTTAATAATTTATTTAACAAATAATGTAATTACTATAATTATTGCTTCAGAATGTATTGAAACAAATTCATAAATTGAACTTTCTGTTAATTTTCTAATGAAATTGATGTGAAAGACCATTAAATAACAATTCATTGACTATGGTTTTATTATAATACTAAATAGATGAAATTAAATAAAGAAATAGGATTATTACCAAGTGTGTAATATAAAAAAGAATAAAGTTTTATAGACAAAGTAACTAAAAATAGTATGATGATTAAATTTATATCAAATCCTGTTGCACAGTGAGATAAATTGGGCAAGGTATAACAATTTTATTTTTCTTTTAATACGGACAAATAATTGCAATAATTTATAAATTTTCAATTTTTTTTTTCTAATAGGTATAAGAATCATAATGTTACCTGACTGAATGTTATTTTATTCGGACATCGATTGCCCATTTAAATACCTGTATCCACCACTACCGATGGAACTATTATCAGTCGTTACTGTTCACTAATCTGTATCAAAGAAAAGCAGGAAGTTTCAGTAAGACAAAAGATTCGGAATTTCGAGAATAAGCCTCCCCACTGTTGTGGACGCGTATTCGCGCGTCGTCAGTAAAAATGAGCCTGGGGTCTGGCACGAGCTGATAGCCACCGCGAAGAGAAGTAAATAGGGAAAGAGAGGGGGGGGAGAGGGCAGAGAACGAGAACAAGCGAGTAAAAGAGAGGGTGGATATAGGAGGGACGTGATCCGACAAAACACGAGCGATGCTCGTAGCGTTCGATTCAGTCTGCATCCGACCGCCGCGAGTGTCGCGTCGTGAAGTTGTGCTTGAACTTCGGGGGGGAACACGAGACTCCGATACAAGAGAGTCAGTTGTGCGAGTGCGCGTGATACGACACCACGGTTCCTTATCCCGTATCTAGCGTACACCCTTGTTTTTTTTTCCGTATCTTTTCGTTTCTTCCTTTTCGACTCGTGCTCGCGAACGGGAGAGGGAGAGAGAAAAAAAAAATCAGTGAAAAATCGGAGCCGCGTACGATTGGTGTTAGAGAGAGAAAGAGAGAAAGAGAGAGAGAGAGCGGGTCACTGAACGACCGCACAAAGGTAAGGAAGAGGGAGAACGAAAAATAAAAGAGGGACAGAGAGGGATTTTCGTCGCGACGTATACATACATACGTATATACACGTGCGAACCCGAGGAGAGACGTGAATACGCGCGTGCGCACCCGCGTATATATCGCACACACGCGGACACGTACATTTCCACATATACATCTACACATACACGGACGAAAGAGAAAGACAACGACGACACGGCGCAGGAAAAGAGGGAAGAGAGCCAGTGACACCGGGAGGGTCGGGTGTTCCTCGTGCAAAACCGCCACCGGAATATATGTCGTGAATGTGTACGGCCAAAGATCCGCGGATAGAGACCGGCGATAGTGCGTGCAGGGCTTTAAGGAGCGAAAAAAAAAAAAGGCAAAGACGACTCCGGGTGAAAAGCAATGCGGGTTCATTGACTGCGTGCCGCGCAATGGCCGCATGTTCGTGGCCAATGCACAGTGCATGTGTGACAGGAGCTACGAGCAAGACGACGCCGAGGACGACGAGGCCGAAGATACCGGCTAATATCGAACTCGAGACCTACTAAAGTTTTATTCGGCTTTCTGGACGATCTGGAACGTGTACCTCGATCGGGAGGAGCACCGATAAGGACAAGGAACGCATTGGAATTTATCGTGCTTTTTAAGGTAAGTGTTTCTGATACTTCATATTTGATTCTATGAAATCGACACGGATGAAGTACTCAACGATATCGGAGCATTGTTGATATTTTGTAAAAATGAAGTGAGAAATTTTCAAATGTTTTGACTTTTCGGTAAATAATGATTATTGTGACATCTATGTGCTACTTTAAGAATCTTCGTTCGCAAGATGTTGCGATGCATTATGGTAGCGGCATCGAATCGACCTAATTTTTCGTTTCCAGTCTCTATTTAGTAATTTCGTGTCTCTTTTTACGACGCGTAAACACCCGTTATTAAAATTGACTTTCGACTAGAACAAGTGTGTCTCGAGTGTATCAAGGGCGCAGGGTCATTCACAGTGACCGGTGTTTTCTCGTTCACCGGTTGTTCCCGCAAGAATGTCTTGATCGCGATCAATTATTTTTCTTTTTTCGACCGTTTCTCTTGCGTTCCCGTGTTTTCGACTTTTCTAGATTTCCCTTCGATCATACATTTTTATTATTCCGCTCGTTAACGAAAGAAAGCGTAACCGAACGATACGTACGCGTTATATTTTCAATCTTTTATCCTTGATTGAGTCGACCGAGCGCGTTGCCGTAGGCGTTTTAAGAAATTGTAAACAAATGTTCTTCTTCGGTTATAACGAGGATTTTCAGTTAGGAAAAATGACATTTTACAGATATCTCTCTCGTTAAAAATTCATTCCTTTGTAACGAAGGACGAGCAAGCGAAGGACGCATACGTCATACTTGCAATGACCTTATCACCAATACGCTGACCTTACCTACCGTAGGTATTATAAACGTCACATTTTTGTAATAATACTTAATGGGATGGTTGTCGCAGTGTAGCCAATCTTGTTCCGAAAAGCACGTTCCCCGATACCCTGATGATTCTTCCATTAACCCAGGGGTGGACAATTGTTTTGGCTCGGGGGCCACTTTGTGGAAGCGGAGGTTAGCGGAGGGCCGTACCTTTTAAAATTGCATTCATTAGTTAACTTTGCATTTTAGAAAAGTATAAATTGTACCATAAAAATCAATAAATCATGAATTTATTTAAATACGAGACGAATCTTTGGTCGCGCATGGGAAGGAAATCTGGATTCAAGGCGGATTTTTCTGTCTTGAAGGGCCACAAAAAAACTCTTAGGGGGCCGATATTTGTCCACCCCTGCATTAACCCATAGCGTAGAAAATAATTTTAATCCTTCGGTCCGGAACAGGTTGTTATACCCGAAAGAACGACTCCATCTTTTTTTTCCTCTCCGCTTTGTTCATTAAGTTCATGAACCTTTCTAATTTCGTATCTAATCAACGGATGATAGACTTTGTCACGAGTCGACGGTGTCTTATCTTTCTTTATTTTCATAGTTTCTTTCTGAAAATTTGGAGGGTACATTTAAATAAGAGGATCAAGAGATAGGAAAGAAATCTCTGGAGAACGATTGCGTAAACGTAGAACAAGGAACGATTTCGCTTTCATCAACGAGTATTTTTAGGTTATTCAATTTTCAAAACTCGGATACGTCCGATTAGACGGCACCGGTTGTAGCGTATGAAAGGAACAACAAGTTCGCGGTTTGGAACAAATCCAACCGGTTGGCTTGTGTATTCTAATCGAGTAAATCAGGATAAGTACGTGTTTTAGCCTGGTCCGATCACCGGTTAATTTGCCGCCACTTTACACGATACAACAGGTGGAATATTTCATCGAATGATACAATAATATTTAAATACAATGGTTAGTTTGAAAGGTGCAGATATTAGATGGAAGCTCGTCGAATAGACGGCGGTGATCGAAATTCAAAGTCGTAATCTCGTTGGTAGTTATCGACCGTTGGTGTTCATTGATCTCGTTGTTTAACAGACCGAGATCATTGCACCCGTGACACGAAACGTACTACTCCCGATGAGATAATTGTTCTTAATCGTCGCACATTCTCATTGATAATAGTCGTAGCTAAACGTGTATGTATCTGGAAATTTCGTATTTTCGAAAAGTCGTTCCATTGATCGATTAGTTATTTCGAAATGATCGATAATGTTTTTATAACCTAAACTTGACATAACCTAAAATTATCGAGCGTGAATTATATCCATGGAATTCTTTTTAGTGATTTCAAGGTAACATTTACCGAACGAACGGTATCGCTTTCGTACAATACCGGTATCATAACCTTCCTCAACGTTTACGATTTCGAACAGCAGCGCCACTAATATTACCCGCCTGAAGGCTGTCGCTCGACGGAACTATCGAACGGAAGTTCGATATAGCGTCAGTAGGCGATCAGACGTATCGGCGGCCGTGAAATTAAAATCGTGTCGTTCGTAATCGTGTTTTAAGGTGGTTCGACTAATTAGGAACACTTGTCAAAATCATCCGGAGGATGTCCGCGTTATACGAGTCTTCGTATGTTAGCCACTCATCCGTGACTAATGCTTGGCAGGTGAAAATTGGCGTGATGTAAATATGGGACGCGTTCTCGTGTGGCGTCCGTCGCGTATATCCGCTCGATTTACTTCGTCAGTTTGAAACGCGACGTCTAACCTGACCATCTCCTTGCCACCGCGTCTACGCGTTCCCGATGCTAGAATTACGTTAAACCACTGACAAATCTCGTCGATAAATAACGACGATCCACGGTGAAACGATGGCGATTCGAATCATTCGAGGAATTCGGAAGTCGATCGTCGTTGACACGAATCAGTGTACGCTGGCAACAAAAATAGGTAACCCATATTTATATATACGTATAAATGCATACTGTTTCGCGAAATTGAGACGAATTTTTCAAATTCTTTTCTCGTCGGCCGTCAGTGGTAGCTTTAAAACGTTACTGCTACTTTTTTATTTACATTCCGGCCGTTTGTTTGGAATTTCTTCGTGCGACCGTAGAATGCGTTCTGACGTATACACTTAGAAAGATGGCGCTGTAGGCGTACTTGATATTTCGAAACTTTCAAACATATTTTCGAATATAAATACGATTAAAAATTTCTATTCAATTTCTTTTTCTTACCATTATATTGAATTTCTAGTATCGTTCATCGGTGCGATCAGGCAATTTTAATCGACGAATACGAGAGGAAATGTAACGATGCCAAACATAATATCGCGAAATAAAGGTTCGCGTTCTGTTTTTGTTGGCCTGGTTGCCGGTAACGGATTACTCGACAGATTACCTTCGCTAGTAGTAATAGACGATTATGAATGAACGCGATGCTGCGGCTAGTCACGCTCACGAACGTATACGAAGCGTTCGTTGTGAACGGTAGCGCAGCGTTCTCTGGGAATATCAGATATGCTCGAGTAGAATGGACTCCGCTCGTAATTCTAAACTTACCGACCGTGGGTCGTATTAAAATGGTCTCGGTGCTACGTGCCGCGGCTCTTTACTTCATCGCGAATAGACAGCGCGTTTGAAAATAGAGGCACTTGACATTCTCTACGCGTTCCGTTTCTACTCCTTCGTTTCTCTCATTTTTCCGTTCCATCCAGCTGGAATATATCGGGAATAAAGAGGAACCTGGAAATTTTTTTCATTTGTCGCCTGGCACATTGCGGTATGCTTCTCTATAGGTACTAGAATTCGTCCGGAGAGTCGGCGACGCACGGTACTTAAGCGTACAACCTTATACAAGGGCACACCACAAAAGCGTAACTAATCAAAATCATTTTCTTTCGTTTTCAGACGACCGAAACAGTGCTGCTCGCAAAGGCACGACCTCAAGTCGTCACCCTACCAAAGAAGATCCAATCGAACGGTTAAACTCGATCAGCTGTTCGAGTTCGAACAATATTACTTGACGAACGTTTTTTAACCTTCCTCGAACTTAATGCTCGCGATCAAGTATCGTTATCGAGACACGTCATCGGTGTCTTGTCGCTGGATCGGTGAACGAAAATGTTGTCCGTTTGCTGACGAGAGAGAGGGCGGCGAAGAAGCCGGTGAATCGTTGCTCGCGATCGGTTCGGACATATTCGGGTGGCGGGACTTGGGTGAGAATCTTGTTCGTTTCTACGTGGTCGTGGTCGTGTTCGTGGTCGTCGCGCGTTGTACAGTCAGTGGTTCGGCAGTGAGAGAAAGATAAAAGGGAGAGGCGGGCAGCTATAACCGGCAACCACACGGTGGACATGATTATTTCAAAGGATCTGTTCCTCTTTGGCGACCAAGATTACCTGCGCCTTCCCAGTAACGAGAAGCGCCAGCAACGGGCAATGGGCCGACCGATCATCAATGCTCCCAGGTAAGTGCCTTCTACGATTACCATTTTACCATTTTACGACCAGCATTTCCTTCCTCTATCACCGGGTAACCGGTGTGAAAAATACACCGTGTATATTGTAACACTCTCGACATTGAAGAAACGTTTCTCAATGATTCCGTGCACCGATCCGTTGCACTTTATCAACTCGCGAACGTTGCACCGCGTCGCCTATCGGTTTCTGAGTGATTTTCGCGAGGAAACGCGTCCGCGATTTCTGGAATCGTAGAGAATTCTCGCGTGGAAACGATGCCGTCTGGCAAGAAACCGTTGAAAGTCCATTCGTCGCGGCGCATCGTATATCGCGTAGGCTAGAAAACAGCTATAAGAGTAGCAAGAAATCCGCTCGACTTTTCTTCCATCGCGACCGGTCCACGCCCGTGATAAAGAGAACGCGAATACGTAGAACACGTGCGGACAGCGAGGGAGAAACAGAGTCCCTTCACAGAGCTGAGAGTGGGTCACGCATGGGAAACTG